TTTTCCACCCCTCCACCCCTCCAAACTACTGCACGGTACTTTTGCCTGTAAAATACGAGAGCTATTCTCCGGACCCCCTTAAAAAGGAATCAAAATGCGACTCCACCTCAGCCGAGCCACACAGGAGGTCGATCATTATCCAGGGAGACGGGCGCGCGGGGCAGGGGGCTGGCTCTACCGTTATTTCATGGCTTGTGTGTACGTATTACAGACGAGGTACTATTCTATAACGAGTAAAAGTAACAGACTCCACCCAAACAACCATAAGGAACCCCATTGACAGCCCAAGTTAACCCTTTAATCTACTCAAAGTTCAGCCTAAGTCTTCGGTTACATTGCGATGGAACTTTCGATTAAAATCATCCGTGTTCTAGAGGCGGAGTGTGCTCAAACTGAGACGCCGACCGTCTCTCAAAGGTACGACAGCCGCGATGATGTACTGTAGTTTGGAGGTAAGCTAACCTGAATGCAAAAGGACCGCTCGTACAAGGTACGTGTACTTGTATGAATGTAATACGAGCAGACCATGGTAATGTCCACAAGTACAGCTTATGTACCTGTCAGTGAACAACCCCTGTCTCTGCGATATCATAGGTTCACATCGAATGAAATGATATCCATGATCGACCGAACCTACCAGTGTCTAGACCTCCACGCATTCGTTCTTGTACATGTTGAAGAGGCGTTCCCCATTTGGTTACCGATATTATATGCCGCGTCTTGGAAGTACAGTAGTTCCTTTATACCTGTACGCCATACTCCCTCCCTACACAACAGAGAACAGCGCATCCCGCGCTCCTCTCATCGAAAATCAAGGGTATCGTTGAGAATGGGGATTTGGAATCGTCTTGCATAAATACCTGTTTCTCATGCTCGATGATGTAAATGCCGTGCATATATCCTGCACACACACCAAAGCAGAACATGTACACCTACTCTTAATCGTCAAACCGCACAGTAAGGGACAATCAAGCGCCAATTGCCACTTTGAAGGCTAGTGGACGAGTTTCAGTGGAGAAAAGGGATCTGAACCGCAATAAATTCGAGAATGGTAGTTCACATAGAGGGTCACTTTTAATATAGTTGTTTTACGTGTGAGGCTTTTTCTTTTTTCTTTTTCGCCTCGTAAGCCGTAAGCGTTACCCTGGTAGCCTGGCCACTAGCTTACTAGACATGGCTGATGTGTAATTATTAGTGTTATTCTTAGCCGCGACGCTAGCTCTATGGCCCGACTATTTACCTATTGAGGAAGGTTGGGTATCAATCACTCGAAGCGAGAGCGACTACGACTGCGAATGTGACTCCCCGTACCAAAGCATGTACCCACTGAAAGATACCTCCTGAATCGTCGATCAAATGCTGCGCGGGATGATTCGCTCGCTTGGCAAATTAGACAGCGAAGACTCGCATGATTGTCTGCCTGGCAGTGTGAACAAGCAGGGAATGGGGACAACGGTCGTGCATGGACAGGGGGGCCGTGACCGAGCCAAGTGTGCCTAAGATTCCTACAGGAAATGACAGAGAACCAATGGAAAGGATGTTTGTATATTGTACATGACTAGCGGTGGGACTTGATCAAATCATTGTGGGATGTCGGGGGCCGTTACGCCTCCGACTGTAGTACCAGTCTTTTGTGGAGACTACTTGTACGCCAATTTCAAATTCCAAGATCCTGATCTGAGGATGTTGAATAAGGGAACTTTGATAATAGTCAATCTCCAGCCGAGTGTTTACTGCAACATAGCTTAGTATTGTTAAGCAAGCCCCAAGTCCGTTAGGTTGAATTGAACCAAATCAGTGCTCATAAAAAACCAAATGAAAACCAGATAGAAACGCCAATGCCAACGCCGTGCTCTCCTGGTTGAGTCATGAGCTGATGCAAGAGACAGACAGGAGAATGGTATCCCAAATGAAACGCGAGTCCGTGGAAAATGTGATCAAAGGACAGTGGGGAAGATGAGTAAAAGACAGGTAGCGAAAGAGTCAAAGAATGGTGAAATGTATGCGCGAACCCAGAGTCGCAAATCGATCGCAGTCAAATATGCAGGTAGAAAAGGCTCTTCAGAGGCCAATCCGAGACAGAAAATAAATGGTATCCCAACAAATCGAAGGTATCAACTGGCAATGTTATACTGGAAGGGTTTCAAGACACGCTAAATCGCTAATATGAGGTGATGTGTGGTGCTCCTACACTCGGATCCTTGATGATCGGAATGCGGAAAGGTCAATTGACTCGGCCGATAGGGAGGAATTGTCGTCGACTTCGATGGCGCCTGCGGTAGTCGTTGAGGGCTTGCTAGACGCAATTGCGGCTACTCTGGCCAGTCGCGCTGCGGAAGGGGTCGGGGGTGGTTTGGGAGGTGCGTCGTGTTGCGCAGTCCCATCAGCTTGTTGTGCTTCTAGTTCTTCCTGCTGCTTCTTTTCGGCCATAATACGATGCACCTCGTTGATTGCGGCCTCAAGTAGCATCTTGAACTTCTCTTCCACTCCGTCGAGTTCCGTCCCACAGTCACCAGATCGAAGAATTTGGTAAGCTGCCGTCTCACACAGAGAGTGAGCGAGTTCCAGTTGCTTGTCAGCGTAGTCGAAGGGCGATTCTTTCCGTAGGACACTAGTTCCAGAGACACCGACAATTCCAGATGCTGTCCGGGTGCTTCGGATACAGGAAAGTGGCGATGAGGCCTGTGATGTTGTGCTTGGCATATTCAAGTTCATGCCTCGGTTCAGGATTCCGGCGCGGATGCCAGCACGCGGCGTCATTGCCATTTTCGCTCGTCGCATGTTGTTCCTTGCCACTCCGATATCTCGAACGATCGTCTCGAGCGTCTTCTGTGTGTGTCCGTCGTATTCGATAATGACATTGTGCCTTGTGCTCACAAACGCGTATTCTTCGTTCGACTCGACAGATGGGGCCTTGTCGGAGGATCGCTTGCGGCCTGAGCGTTGACCAGCATCGGGTGCGTCATTGGGTGTCACCGCCGCGGAAAGTTCTGGGCTGGGTTCTTTACGTTGGGCGATTGGGACAAGATCATCGGTGTGGATTGAGCATACGGAGCTGTTCTTGCGTCGGCGGGACTTGAAGTTCGTGTGACGCCTGTAGGCTTCGGAGTATTCATCGTGCCTGGTGTGGGTGTGGGCTGCAAGCTCTGATACGCGGGTGATCCATGCGGGGAGGTTGTCTTTCATGTGGGTGAAGGCCCCCAGAGCATCCATTGATGCCATCGCTTTAGATGTCGACACCGATGTTGCAACGGTTCCGCAAGTTGAGTATGTAGATTGTAGGGTCGATATATTAGAAATAAAGGGGTATGCAAGCTGTTCGTGTCGTCATAAATCGTGAGTTCGACCCAGATCGCAATTCGGGGAGGTAGAAAGCCGGAGGCGAAATGCTGTGTTTAGCGCTGTGTCGGGACGCCGGAGGAAAAGCGGATGAAGGTGATCTTTAACCCCTCAGTGTAGAAGAGTTGACTGGGATCTGCGTGGTGTAAAACGCAAGTGACGGTGAAGGAGAGTCTGGGGAGGGGAAGGGAGGAAGAAAAGAAACATCGAGAAAATGAGTCGAGCGGGTACTGGTAAGGGACTCGTACTGCTCTGGGACCCACTCGTACTGCTTCGTATGGCGCTAGGTTATTTTGGATCAGATGAATAGTCGGAAAGTTGCACATCATAGGGCCAGCTGCATCTTTTACATATAACCATGCAGACTGTTTGAAACGGAGTGATTGACATGATTTTCAGGAGCGGTGAATGCCGGCAGGTGTCAGGTTGTTTAGTCTGTGAGTAGTGTTGCCCTAAGGATGACGAAACAGGGTTGTGCTGTCGTATTCTCTACGCCATTGGATAGCATACATGCATACATGTAGTTCTACAATTTGGCCCCAACACGTTGTCGTGATGATCCTCAAATAGATTGTCTGAAAAGACCGACTGCCTTCCGAGACATCCATTCCTCGGAGACATGGAGCTCAAGTCTCCCGGCAACCGTAACAAAGATAAGTAGAGGGGAACTTTTGGAGTTATCAAAATTGAAGCAACTACGAAGTAAAGCCGAAACAAACGAGTGTCACTGAAATTTTTGATCCGGACTACCCAAGCGAAGGGAAAGGGTAATCACTTACATTCGGCGCCATTCCTAAGTGAGGTATGACACGTAACGGCTGTCGGGGACCTGGACTCGGAGATCGGGGACTACGGGGATCACGGGGACCACTTGGAAAATGTGACAGGGGATTACAGAGGGACCTGAGCTATGGATTAGGAGCCGGACGATCCCTCCCGCGGAAGACCGGGAGAGCCCGGGGTGGTCCCACCACAACGATGAGCGCTCGTGGTTGGCTGATCGAGCCAAATCGAAAGGGAATGGTTGGTATTAGTGGTATCGTAAACTTCATCCGCAGTGCTTTGTGCCATACAGTAGCTGGTATCGGGTACCTCTGTAACGAACTAACATAATATGGTCCCCGGATCTACTAGTAAGTTATTGTTATTCTTGTAGCTTATACTATCCACGTGATATTCTCCATAACTCGGGTTTTGGACATGGTGATTCAGACTGGATTACGTGATTGCGCGGTTATACATCCGATGCAGCGTGATTGAGTGCACACATATCGTTTGGAATATTCAGTTCCAGATGAAGCTGCTGTACAATTACAACAAATTCATGACTCCGACCAGTATCATGTGACTACTTTAAATAAACGCTTGGCGAGCTTAGACGATCCTAGTGGATAGTGATCGCCGACGGGCGGAATGTTTATGATCAAGATGACCCAAGTGGCATTTTAGACTTCTAATTACTTTCGGTCTCCTGTATCTCCTGTATTCGTATAGACCTGGTATATCATATTGCGATATCCTAGTATCTGTTGAAAAGTATAGCCTTGAAGATCTTACCATACAACTGTGTCAATGACCCTCTTTTCGAAACCAAAGTCATTTAAAGGCAAATAAAAGATTGCAACTGTTATTTGGCAGTCTGAAATCGAACAGGAACTATCTTATTGCCGATATCTTGGAGTCCACTGACTCCATAGCTCATTTCCACGCATAAAACTTTCCAACCCTTTGAAATACATATCCATCTCTGGTGTCCATTTACTGACGCTATCAGCTTGGAGCTCATCCCCAGTATGCTTGATGATAAGCTCCAATTCTCGGCAGTAGCTGTACATCAATCGCTTGCAAGCCGTAAAAGGTAACCCTGTTTCGTTGGCAAGGATATAGATGGCAGACAGTGGTCGGGAACCATCAGTTGGGTTTTCTTGGTGCATTTTCCATTCTCGCTCCCAGCTATATATGTCATTAATCACACCCATATGACGGAAAGAAGCACTTTCTAGAGCAGATAGTCTTTCCAGTTCCGCGGGATTGAGGCGCAAGTTGGCACCAAATCTAATAAGAGTTGTGTAAAATCTGTTCACTCACTTTTAGCCCTGGACAATGATATGAGCTTTGAGGGTCAAAGTAGAGCAATACGTACGGCTTTCCCGCATCTATCTCTCTGAATTTGAGATACGACCCGAGAGTTTGGATTGAACTACGCTCCTGTGACGTCTGGGCCTGCAGAAGTTGGCAAAACCCTTGGGCAGCATCACCTGCCAGTCCCTCGTCGATATTGCGCATGCTTTGGAAGGTATCGTGTAGCATCCATTCCAAACATACATGTTTATCCGGGCTCATAGCTCCCAGCGCAATTCTCATTACACGCTCCCGATAAGAGTGCATTTGTTCAAAGCTCATCTTCTCAAGTTGATCTAACTGCACTGTTAGTAAATGACCACTTTCAAATCTAGGTCAAACAACCAACCATCAATGAGCAAAGTCAAATAAAACACCTTACACGATGTTTCAATGCGGCAATCAAGAGTCAAGGGAAAAAAGTGACTGAAGGCTCGAGAGAACCCAATAGCCAAAAACCCCCTTTTCTCCTTCTCGCTAGCGAAATTCCAATTGTTGCCGAAATAAGGCTCAACTTGTGCTTGTATTTTCTCCCATCCTAATGGATGTGTTTTTGATTCCAATTGGGTAGCTGGAATCTCACAGGGAATGTTTGGTATGGTTGAGTATTTTCTTGTTGGTTTGTTTGCTGAGTACGCATGGGGTGAAAATAAATGGCGATTATTGCTCAAACTAGGATTTTCAAGTTTGATCCCAGTTGACACTCGCTTCCATACATAATTTTTTTGGAATTGATGCATCTTGACTTTGCATTACCGCATTGTCAAAGCTTGGGTTAGGGAGTCCCAGGTTTCCACCAACAACATAACCGACACGTGACTCGTTTTTCAGTATGTAATTTCTAGTATATATATTTACGGGTCTTTTTCTTAACCTGTACTAGTATTCAGAGTTACGAGTCAGCCTCACGGTATATATATAATGTATCTACAAAATCAATATGAACATGGCTCACACTGGTATATCAGTTGACAGGCCTTTAATAGCTAAACCACGCACGGACCACTTGATCTGATGTCACCACGACCAACCATGGTCAACCTGTCTTCTTTTATGCTTATCTCAATTCTCACGTCGGCTCTTTGACGCTTAACCAATTTATGCCTTCTGAATAATTTATCTTCTGGATCCCAAGTCGCTAGACAAGCAGCAGTGTCATACTCTGCTCATCCGGTATTCCACGTTTGTGAAAAGACGTCATCATTGTAACAGTTGATGGAGTTAGCATCCATTTCATCCAGTCACCAAACCCCTCTAAGAATAGCCCTTCAGCGTCTTGGTGCAATTAAGACAAGTCGTGGAAGCCCACCAGCGCATCGGTCTAGCTCTACATCCTCTTCTCCAATTGGAATCTCAGCAATGAACACATCACCAGCAAGCTCTCAGCGTGCACCATGGCGTGATATACTTGACTCGCATCTCCAACAAACGCCAGGACATGAGTTCACAATTGCTACTATCGGCTATGATGCTCGAAACCGTCCCGTGCCTCGTCTGCGCACCTGTGGTTGCCGTGGTTTCTTTCCTGAACTTGAACTTCACCCGAAAGGCCAGGAAGCCATGGACGAGCAGGTTGAAGGTGGTGGCAATCCACCGACATATGAGAGTGACATGCTTTGCTTCACCACCGATACTCGAATGGAAAAGCTCCCTCAGCTGGAGTCTTCTGGGAATGCTATTGAGGCAGTCTTTTGGCTAAGGGATTTTATGACCCAATGGCGTATCAAGGGGACTGCATATGCAATTGGAGATCCCACAGGCAATGAGTCAGAGAACGAGAAGGCATCCCGAGAGGAGATCAAGAAGAGCTTGCGGCTGAAAGGTCACGATCGTGATATCGCATATTGGACGTGGGACAAAGCTGTCACCAAGTACTTTGCAAACCATTCACCGGTTGCAAGAGGTATGCGCTTTCTCTCTAACCACAATTGCTGTCTTATTTAAGAAGCTTATATTGACTGGCAAATATAGGTTCTTTTCGAAACCCCCCACCCGGGCTGCCTAGATCCCAGAGCGCCAGCAATCCAGATCTGAAACTTGGCCAGAAAGTCACAGATCTTCATGACCCCGTTGCTCGCAATAACTTTAGAGTTGTGGTAATTCACCCAGAGGAGGTTGAGCGTTTGGATTTGACAAAGCAAGAGGATGGAAAGAGATGGAAATGGATACTGGAAGCTGCAAATGGCTCGGATAATGCTCAATGGAACGAGACTGAGGTTTGGCCATGATAATTTGTGCCAACAAAACCCTTCCATGGACATGGACACAGTCGAATGTACACGGCCCCAAAATCTTCTTTGCAGACCGGTGTATCAATACTGTCAAATTCTAGTACTCGGGTTACTCCAGGAAGATGTGTTTACTTGAGCGTTTGCCTTCCTTCCAGATTCGGCCGTGTGGTCGTTTTGCTGTCGCGTATCTTCTTCCTACTTAATTTCCTTTTCCTCCATGAATCCCCCCGCGGCGATACGATTGTAATTGTCGTACCAGCCCATAACCTTCCCAACCTCAAATCCATCTAATCGATCATGCAAAAGCAAGCTCAGCCGGCCTCCATTCCTACCTCACCTCGTCATCATCCCCATAACCTCATCTCAGTGGACACTGATGAGATGCCTCATGTCTGTGCTGACTGCAAGGCCTAGAAGTGCCGCTGCACTCATCCCCCAGTTGCTCCCCCTGCCACCGAGGCCGTAATGCATGGTGCTGTCCAGTCTACTGGAACAGCCCCTCCTCCCACCTCTCTCGCTGCCACCCGGAGCCTTCGCCAGACCAAGGCCAAAGCCGAGGCCAAGGTAAGACTACGTCTCCTCAGTCTAGGCGCCTTATCTGAGCTCAGCGAATCAATGTTGTACCATAGAAGAAAGAAACCGCTGCCCCCAGCGACGATATTCCTTCGATCCCTTCCGAGCCCGAGCCCGAGCCCGAGCCCGAGCCCGAGGCTGCTGTTGGCCCTCCTCAACTTCTCCTCCGTGAGGTGCCCGAACTGCCAACGGACATCATGGTTGCTGCCCACCATCTCGCGATGCACACAGTGTACGCCCGAGAGCTCCAGCGCGACATCCCAGTATTCAAAGTCGCTTTCGAAGGGGGCATTCTGGCCCAGCGTGCTAGCATGGCCGAGATCCAGAACAGCCTGGAGGCCCGAAGTGCTACCGAGATTGCCATTTTCCAAGACTGCCTCCTGGCTCATCGGGATATCATGGCTGCAGCTGCAGTTGTTCAGCGCCAAGTCGTCCTGTGGATCGAGTCCTGGACAGGTGGCAACTAACCACATTCCGCTTCTCACCATCCCTTCGGCCACAAGGAAAGTTTAGAGTCACCAATGATGATATTTTTTTGGATGTGTTTTATTTTCTAGACACTGAAGTCTAAAAGGGAGTTTATATAGCCCTAGAAAATATTAGGGCAACCATTGACTGATTGTCTAACAATTGTTTTTGACTTGCTTTGACCTTACTTTGCTTTACCTTGGTCTCTCTCTGTTGTGCCTCTTTTGCCCACTTTATATTCACTTAGGCTGTAAACAGCTATAAACAAACGAGAGGGAGTGTGAAGGGATTGTCCTATGACCCCTGTTAAATTGTCTCTTACATTCTGAGATAGCTTATTCGAGCAAAATAACCAGGGCAACGGATAAAGAAATTATGCGATATAAATTCGCCATAGAAAGAGCCATGTATGTACAAAGTGTGTATATAACAGAAAGAATGACGAACAATTTCACAAAATCAAGATGACTCCGAGCTGACCACTGTTTCTTGAGCCTCATTTTCCTTCTTACTCTGTTGAATACCCGACATTCCATAGACAGAGATAAAAGCCATTCCCAAGAAAGCCGAAACACAAGAAAACACCATAGCAACAATACCTTTAGCAGTGAAACCAGCTGGCAACCAAGGAACTTGCTTATTCTGGCCAGTAAGATCAAGATAATCTTCAGTGTTTCCAGCAGCATTTCCTTCATATTTCACACCAGCCGCATCACAAGCCTTATACTGGTCCGCTGGAATCGTCATGCGCTCTTGCATCTGCTCAGGTGCTTCAATCAGAGTCATAGCTAGACCCTGTGACAAATGCCAGTCAATGTGGCAGTGAAAGAACCAGACACCAGGGTTATCTGCGACAAAGCGAATGACGAAGTAGCCCTGAGGAGGTAGAACGAGGGTGTCTCGTCTTGCTGGGTACTTTGGGAATGCGGTGTGGTTGGATGGGTCGTAGGTAACTGGGTCGCCGTCGGCGTAGTCGTAGAAGTGCTCACCGTATGAAGGGAAGCGCTCGATGACTTGGAACGAGTGACCGTGAAGATGGAATGGATGGGAGCCGGAGTCGCCGTTGTTGAGGACGATGTCTACAACTTGGTTGTGGCCCAGAACCATTGGGTGTGTGTATTCTCCGTAGACTTCGGCGTTTGTCGAGAGGTTTCCGGATGAGAGGACGGAGTAGAGGGTTGGTACCTTCGGCCTTGTGTAAGAGATGTTGTTGAAGAAGGCATAGCCTGCTCCGTCACCAAGGTTATCCATCATGACTGTGAGATCAATCGTCATGTCAGCATCTGGTAGAAGCGGCTCTTTGTCGTAGGGAACTAGCGTGAAGTCGTCGAACGGATTAAGATCTGAGGCGACGTCCACGGTCATAACGGCTTGAGGGTGAGCGGCATTAAAGTTGTATTCGAGCCAGTTTGTCTGATTGAGTTTGAGCTCTGGTGTAATTGTGTCCAAAAGGGCTGAGTCGGCAACCGTCACAATTGGATAGTTCTTCTCCGTTGAGTTCTTTGTGGTCACAAGGATGGAGTATCGCTGCGCAACTGCGATGTAGAGCATATCGGCCTCGGTAGGCTCCGTATATACTCCATCAATCTCAACGATGCGGAATGTGTGATCTTCGATGTAGAAATATTGCGCAACGAAAGCCCCAATATTGATCAAACGGAAGAGATAGGTCTTGCCAGGTTCAACGGAAATACTACTGTTCAAAGTATCATTGAAGAGGAAAGCCTGAGGGATTGGTTCGGCACCAGTGGGATTGGCCAAGTTGATGAATGACGGCATAATGTCCTCGACAAGCTCATGATACCAGTCACTGACAGTAACCGTGAACTCTTCATCATACATGTCGTTGAAGTATGAGCTGTTATCGTGCACGATCAACGCCTGACGGTATCCATCGGGATAACAGGCATCAGTGTGGCAATGATACCAGTACGTTCCATTTTGGTTAACAGTGAAATTGTATGTGTATGAGGAGCCAGGAGGGATAGGACATTGAGTCACCATGGATGGACCATCCATGTTATTTGTTCCATTTTGGAACATACCATGCCAATGGATCGAAGTGGACTTGTCACCAAGGCCATTATATGTGTTGACAATAAGCTGGTCTCCCTTGTCCACCTCAATAATAGGCAGTGGCCATTGCCCGTTGATACCGACCACCTTTCTCTCGGAGAGGCCATCGGGATTGGCGTTCACCCATGTAACATTGAAGTCAAGAGTGACAGTTTTGGCTTGACAAGAATGAACAAAGAAGTAAAGGAATGCCAATCGGAAGAGTAGATACGGCGTCAGACTCCTCATTTTGAAGAATTCGCCGTTGGGGTGACTGACGGATGCGAGGAGAGCAAAGTGAAGGAGAAAAAAGATCCAACCATGTGGTTGGATATGGCGCTTGGACTGCAAAAGATTGATAAGTTTGCAAAAAGCGGACTGAGACCGTGGTAAAGTTTCGTATTCGGGTGAGTTTGCATACCGTGTTACGATTATCGATCTGACCATTTTTACAGGGTGGGGCAAACCAGACTAAAGTGTAAAAACCTTGGCTGGTGGCTGTCAACTCGGTCCTCTTGAAGCGATGACTGAGTCAAGAGTGGGCCTAGGGACAGACCCATGTCTGTGTTACATGGCGCACGGAAGAATGCAGCTGCCTATGTGGGACTAGATCAGCGCAGCAATCAGCAGGTACATTCGGGACCTGCAAGGGATATGCCTTCTGGTCTACCTGCGACAATTCTTTTTCAGCGGCAAAGGATTAAGATCAACAATCCTACGGCAGGAAAATTTAGCGGGATGATGATCGGACAGAGAGAAAAGACAATCAGATTGGGAAAACATAATCTGATCCCATGTGAGAGATTGATTGGCCAAATTAATGTGGCTTTGGGTTAGCCATGGATGCAGACGGACAATCCACGGGTCAAAATGGAGCTAAGCTTTGCTAAGACAACATTAGGCCCTTAGGGGTCTGTGCTCAGTACGGTCGGTATTTCTCTTTTAAAACACCGAATTTTGCAAATTGTGTATCATCGATAATTATTTCCCAACAGCCACATTCGTTATCTGATTGCAGGTATGCCGCCACGTCTTCTTTTTTGGAGCGATGGCTCTTATTCCCACACCAGCCACCATGAAAGCGGTTATGCATCAGCAGGCTTGACAACAGTAGAAACCCCAGCCCCAGAGCCCTTCTTGTCCGTGATAGTGTGCTCCATAGCGCCGCTCATCTCAACAGGAGCTGGCTCCTCAAGAGGTCGGCGAAGGATGAATGCCCTGGTTCTCGCTTTATAGCCTGCAACCTTGCTCATCGCTGGGTCTAAAACGGGAATAGGACCCCGACGCTCACGATAGAACATCAAACCGTAGCCAATCATGACACAGATCCAGTAAAGGTTGTACGAGATTACTGAGCCATAGGTCGCCGAGTTAGTCCAACCAAGCAAGGCGTTGAAAATACCCCAGCCTCCACCGCCACCCAGCTCGGGGTTGCAGCAGTTAACGTGCCACACGCTTTGTCGGATGTCATATGATCCTGCACCAGATCCAGTTTCGGAAGCGTCGCCTCCAATGATCTTGTTCCAGGTGTTGTTCTGGAAGTACCAAACGCCACGCGAGAACAGACCACCAGCGACAAGGTAGAGGAAGCAGGTAGAAATGATCAAGAAAATCTGCATCGAAGTCTCACGACCACCCCTTGAATCATGTTAGCGCCATAGCTCAGAAGGTAATGAGGAAGGTTGGCAAGAGTGCTTACTTGTAGATCACATATCCAACCGCAAATCCTGCCAAAAGACCGCAGAACACAGCCAAAGGGAACGAACTAGCAGGCAACCCCAATCCGACACCACCAACATAGACGACAGCTTCTAGACCCTCACGTAGCACAGTTATGAAGGGCAAGATGAACATGGCATATTTCTCAAGCCATCTCTTAACACGGCCCTTGCGCGTCTCATTGGGGTTATGTTCATGCGCCAGAGCTTTGGCAAGCTTGAGACGCCACTTATCCTGCAGCTTAGAGACTCGCAGAAGAGCGGCGCCCATGATGGTGATGATGAGAGAAGCAATGATGCCCAGCACACCTTCCCAGATGTCCTCCGTGCTGGAGAAAGTGTCGGTGCCGAGGCCATAGAACGCACCGATCATGCCACAACCAACTGCCAGACAAATTAACAGTCCTAAACCACATCCTAGCCAGACCTGTTGAATGATTAATGACCAAATTCGCGATTAAACCAAGGGGTATGCATACTTGTTTCACCAGCCTTTTGTAGGTAGCTTTATCTTCCTCGGCTCCCAGCGACTGCTTTAGAAATGCAAGCAAGACAGACACAACCACTGTTGTCTCTAAGCATTCTCGGAAACAGATGAAGAACACTATTGTTGCGTTAGTATTGGTACCTCATTCCCATGCGAAGAGCAGGTTGCCTTACCTGTCACAGCAAAGACAGGATTATTGCCCATTTTGACGACTAGTAGATACGCGCCCAGAGAGGAAGATGAGCTCAATCGCGAAGGAGAAAAAAAGTCAAGTTGAGATCCAAACAGTAAATTGGAGAGCAACGGAGAAGGGTCTGTGCGAGCTCGTATTGAAAATTACTAGCGTCATTTACATTCACCCGGCTATCTGATCAAACCTTGGCGAAAAGGTTAACCCGGACGATTCCGTGCCGTGTGCTTCCTTTTCATCTTTCTTTTGTTTTTCTAGTGGGTTGACGGGGGATCGCGGCTTAACCGGGGAATGGCGGCTGAACGGCTTTGAAAGGGATCATCCGGCAAATGAGATCAACGTCGCGGTTAGAGTGTGCTCAATTACCGAAGAGGGTCGGGACTGCAGGGAAAACAAGCATGTGTTGTGCTTTTAGCGCCACGAAAATCTTTCCTTCCCCGCTGGGACTGCTGGGCCAAACTTCATCACTCGCACGTGGGAGTGGACTGGTGCCACTAACGTAGCATGTAAGCGAACGCCGCACCCACCCAGTATATCGACGATTATTTAATCATTTTTTCAACCATAACGCGAGGTAAACGAAATCGAAGCTATTCAGACCTCTCTGGGCACTTATTTCTTTTATGTCCAGGCATTTTACAGAGACTGCCTGTGGGCGCCTCTCATTGGTCGGAGTAGCGACCGGCGATGCCCGCTCAGCACGATTAGACCTCGCTTCCTCGACCTCTCTCTCACCACGGAAACGTGATATAGCTTCTCTAACTAGTAGACTTCATTTATGTGCTTTTCGAGTATCCGTGCATTTCTTACATGAAACCTTTGCGTTGGCGGCAAGTAAAACTTTATTTGCTATGCTTAAAAATGTACGAGTGGTAGCCAACTAATAGCCTCTCTATTTGATCGAAGGCCCTACCCAGGCGTCAGGACTACTCTCTAGCTCCTTTGAAATAGATAAGGCTTGTCTCTGTATATCCTTGACGGTGTGAGGTGTCCTTAAAGTGAAGTTTTTGCTCGAATCGCTTTCCCTAGCTAGGTGGACGTAGGGGTATAATAAGACGTACACTCAGCTTCGATTATACGCGCTCTAATTCGAATAAGACGATACTTGCGCCGGCGAGAATATTTCGTATAGTCTCACTTATAAGTTTCCTCTCTCGTAATCTAATATGCCTCGAGAAAGTCATTTTTGTTGATACAGCCGAGTCTGCGATAATACCTTCTCACCGTATCTATGTTTTAAGACGCTAAAAAATCGATATCGAGAGGCTATAAGAGATAAGGTAAATACGGAAGTATATGAATCATGAAAATCTTCTTTTTATCGCAAATTTTCGAAAATCTGGGGTTGAGGTAGCTACTATGTCGAGTATCAAGAGCCGATATATTACCCCTTGTTGTGCAGCGCTTGCTTACATGTTACCGTTGGTATTTATTGCTCCGGCTTACACTGACTCGTTCATTTCGTATATTTCGGAGTGTGTATAGTGGACTCACGGGATCCTAAGACCTGGGCTCGCCTGGCTTTGGTTCGTATTATCTGATTGACCTGATTGATCTTATAAGACTGGACCCATAAGTCGGTGTTTGAAGACGAACAAAGTTAGAAAGCTTGGCTTGATTGGTCGTTTGCACGCATATTTCCGAGGGTTAGTGAATTTTTTAAGAGAAAAATGAGACAATATGACCATTGAGTTAAGTCCCAGCTGGGTGTGTGTCTATTGCATTTACTGAACATGGGTTTTGCAGGATTGTGGAATTTGTTTATGAAAGCACACTTATTCCCCACTTTCCTCGCTTTCAACCTCTTTGGATCGTTTTTCAGCTCGATAGCCTTTGAAGGTATAGATCGCACTGAGCACCATTCCAAGTCCACCAAGGCCAATAGCCACGTACAGCGCACCCCTGTAGCCTTTCAAAACATCCCCCGGTGTAGTTCCTCCATCGTTTACATGGACTTCGACCGTGCCTGCAAAACCCAGGCTCAGCGAAATACTATAGTTGACCACTGTGGTCACAAGAGATGCAGCGATACCTTGATGCTTCCGCTCCACCGCATTTGACAGCATCAAGGTAGCAGCAGGGAACGACATATCCATGCCCCAAGGAATTACCAAAAGGCAAACAAAGGTCAGTGCCCAATACGTTTGATGCACTGGGGCGATTGCCACTAGAACATTGCCCAACGTGAAAGCAGTCATCGATAACATCATGATTATTCCGGGGCGAAGATGACCCATGAGGTACCCCGTAACAACACAAGCAAGAATACCCATTGGTCCTACCGGAACGAATTCAGCGGATGCAACGAGAGGTGTCGTATGGCGGAGATTCTCTTGAAATTGCCAAACGTAGTAGATCCAGATGCCGAAAGATCCCCAACCACAGGCAACACACCCGAGGACAAACGAAACATCACGACTGAATGCGGTGAAGGGAATAAGAGGGTGTTCGGCAACACGGAATTCGACATAGAAGAAGGCCAGAATCAAGAGGATTCCGATGATGAGGAGTACATAGACGTAAGGCTCGCTCCATCCCACAATGGGGGCTTGATTCCATGCTATGTTCACAAGCACGAGTCCACCAATACCGCAAGCTCCACCGAACGCATCGAGAGCTTTGAGAAGACCGAAGAAGGATGATTCATAGGAGGCGTCATGGTGCACAGATGGAATTGCAACAAAAGACAGAACAGCACAGCCTATGCAGACCAAGGTTTGTGACCAGTATATCCATGGCCACCACGCCAACTGTGCCAAGATTGCACTAAATATGGTTCCCAGAAGTGCACTATTTGGAGCAGTGGCACCGAAAATGGCAAAGATCATGTTTTTTCTCTTGCCTGGAGCATATGTTGCTCCAAGCAGAGCCAAGCCATTGGGCAATAATAGTGCACCGCCAATGCCCTGAAGGACACGGGCGAAAATGAAAAGAATGTAATTAGAGTAAACACTGAATCCTGCAACCAGAGACCAGAGTGCAAGCCAACAGAATCCGATGATGAACATTCGGCGATACCCAAATAGATCGCCACATCGACCGGAGACCAGGATGAAGGTGCCAACGGTCAAGGAGTACCCAGCCAAGAACCAGCTTGAAATTCCGGGCTCCGTGATAGCAAAGCTATCGGCCACAATAGCCAGTGGCGAAAGAACGATCCCGATGTTGGTTTGTGTCATGAATTGCCCCATACAAACCAGGGTGATGAAGAGGACTTCTTGAATGGGTGAAAATGTCGAAGCCAGCGACTTCGCCGACGGGACCGGCTCTAGATCCAGCTTGTCTTCCATGACAGATTGCAGCGATATCCTCTACCGCCCCATGTGTTGAAAGAAAGAATGAGGAGACACGCAGTAGGAGACTGGGTAAAGTTCATCCACCCGACCCCCGTTTTAAGAGTGACGTGAGCCAAAACCAGGGGCTCTTAGTGCAGAAAGACTAACTAAAAGCTCCATCATTTTACAGGCGATTGTCTTTTCATTCCGTGAAAAAAAAAAAGGAGTCAGACCCAAATAATAGGCCTGACAATCAGTTTGACCCACTATTAACTGGGTCGGCTTCTAGAACCGGCATCGGCATGGCTTGCATCAGCCGAAATTTGTCACAGGTGCTGACTTGATATGTCGATAAATACCTGTTCAAGTCATAATAAAGTGTCAAAGACCAAAATTCTCGTTGTTGCGGCCTGAGTTGCTTGACGGATGAGTTGCAGAAATTTTACCCGCCACGGATCCATACCCCGAGAAGGGGAATGGGTAAAAGGTAAGACAAGCCAATCTAGACTCTTTCTATGTAAACCCATCTGGACCATGCATTTACTGCTGATGTTGATGATCTTTCGTGCTTGCATCTCTCATTCATATTTACGAAAATTCTCTTCAAATCAAAATTCGCCACCAAACCCCAAGATCCAAATCTATGATTGCCGACCCAGAACACTGAGCATGACTTCTCGTAGTTTGGAAGTACACTGAGCCTCATCGGGGTGTATATCGTGACATCTCCAGGCTACAACTCGATCAGGTCGAACAAGAACACATCCTGTCTCATCAATACCCCGAACACGCGCCCAATCAAAGTAAACATCTTCATAGTCCTGACGGAAGCCAATAGAATATGCCTTGATGTTCATACCAAGGCTAGCACCGACCTGGGAAGCTGCAGATTTCCAAGCCTCACCTCCAATGCCAGTGAGAACGGTGAAGTACCCATGACCAGCCAGATCAATGCTCGAAATACGTTGCACAGGGATGGCATCATTAAGCCAAACGTGAGGGAGACGGCATCCTGGGTATGTGCTCCGGGTGAGAATGAGATCAGGATCCTTGGCCGCCACTTCGGGGCTGTAGAAGGACTCTTTCTCGTCTGCAGAGTATATTGCGGTACTTTCGTAGTACTGGCCCATTTCTGTACCAAGGGCATGATACTCATGCTCTGTCTCTTCGATTGCGGCTTGAAGCCTACTTCGACGAGCGCGACCGTTTTCAGTGGGTAAAGTTAGCTCGTGGAGAGCTTCTGTTCGCAGCTCTGGACTTGGAAGTGCCACTCCTAGTGCTTCCCAAACTGGGCCGTGGTGGCGGAATGACTGGTTTGCGCGGGTGACCACGCCTCGACCGACTGGCTGGCGCTCGACTGAGTATGTTTCAAGCAAAGAGGATGGTGCGTGACCTAAATAGGGAAGTCAGATGTTGAGGGTTCGCGAGAAAGATCGGTTCCTACTAACCTCGTAGAACATGTGCAACCTTCCATGCCAGATTGTAGGCATCTTGGATACATGTATTAGAGCCGAGTCCATTTGAAGGTGGGTGTCGGTGAACTGCATCTCCAAGGCAGAACCTTTCAGATAATTAGCCTAACTCAAGCAAACAGTAGGGATTGGTCTTACACTCTGTCCTTAGAGAACTTCTCCGCAACAACATCATTGATGCGCCACTTTGAAACACCCAGAATCTCGGCAGGAATTGAATCATCCCCTATGAATTCCTTCATCCGTGTCTTCCACTCCTCATTCGAGGGATTGCATTCCATCTCCTTTTCACGCTCAGGTAGAACAATGAACAGCCACTCATCCCAAGGCTTCACCATTCTTGCAATACATGCCCAACCAAAGAGAGGGTGCTCTTTGTCTGGCTGCAAAAGCCAATGCAGGTTTCCAGTGCGGTATTGCATGTAGCTGGACAAGTCTGCCTTCAAGTGGACGTTGAATGCAAGTCCCTGATCTGGCCGTACGTCCAAGGGAAGCTCTGCTTGCCGGAAGACTTCACTTCTTGCGCCGTCTGCTCCAAACAGATATTTGGAGCGGATCTGGAATAGAGCTCCAGTAATGCCATCTTTGAGTGTGGATGTGACACCTTCTTCATCTTGTGTGAAGCTCACAAATTGTGTGTCGAAGCGACAGCTAAAGCCGTTGAGGGTTGCGTTTCGAACAAGGATTGGCTCAAGGATAGTTTGCGGGAGGTCGACAGGCTCACAGGGGCTGGCGGTTTCATAGTCTCCCTTTAAATACTGTCAGATAAGGAATCATCCAGTTTTGGAAAACAGTGAACATACCTTTCGCTTTGGATCATGTCCCCATGAATGAATACGTGCGTATTCCTCTCCAGCCATGCTGTACGCCCAGCGGGTATGCATCATGTTCATGTTATTGGTTGCAAGACATTCACATTCCTTGTCAAGGCCAATATCACGGAGACACTCTAAATGACTCTTTGTTAGCTGCAAATTGGCGGAGCTTTTGGAAAACTTACCCATTGCAGCCATATTTGTGATGTGAGCCCGTGGGGTGTCCGCCGTTGTAGGGCATGAGCTGATCATGATCCCACGAATGCCTATGGACGAATATGTGAGCGTTCAACTTCAATTTGACAGCTAACATCATGTCAGATATACAATAGTAGGCTAGGAAGCATGCCAAAGATGCTCCTGCTGGCCCAGTACCAACGATAAGAGCATCGGTTGAAGTAATCGGTGTGGGTTTGTGGCCACTGTTGCCCTTAGGCAAATGAAACCTAGTCATTTTGAACAAAGAACAGACTCAATGTTGCCAACAAAAGAGCGATAATGACCCGACTTTTCTGAAGAATCCCTTTTGTTTATGACTTAAAAGTCATGCGACCGAATATCGGATGATCATTTTGATGCAAGGTCCGTGTGGTCTTTTATCTGTCGCAAGCCGATCAATACGTTTCAAAATTACTGCAAGTGTGTTTGAGACACATACTGAGCCTGGTGGACCCCTGTCATTTTGCAATTAGCGTAAATTATCCGAAACTTGGCTCGGCTTAATCCTTAAGTTGATCAAACCATAAGCTAACGTGTCGGTTATCCTAGAACGGCAATGATAGACTACAGCCCGTGATTAAGATCTTCGGTAGCGGCTGAGCTTAGATCGCTCATCTTATCAGATGCAAACTGTCGGGGTTTGAAATCGGCAACAAGTCAAGTAAAATGATATACCCTCCCCTCCGCTTAATAAAGGTTCTTGATCTTCACTCGCCCCTACGATCTGCGCTCACTATACTCTTAAATGCCTAGTGCTAGCATAGGCTCCCCACACAATGATGTAGTTCTCGGCATGTTGGTCCAGTTTTTGAAAGTTTGCCTATAGGGCATTGTTGCCAGTTCCCTGTGAAATGTGGTCATATGGAGTCGTGAGTTTATAAGATTGCCTATGTCCATTTTGCATCTCAGCTCCTGAAATCACTTAATCCCACTATTATGGATTCCATCTGAACACCATGTTTGATTCCAAGATTGGCCTTATTATTGCACAGCGCTCCAGTACCGAACAGGTCCGCCGCATCCCAGAACTGAAGTAAATTCCCAGTTTTTACTGACAATCTTCAGAGCCCAAAGACCACTTGCTCGCCTCCATCTCTTTCAACGGAGAATTCAAATACCTTCAGTGATCAACTACGTGAAAGAGATATCACATTCCCCTCTTTAAGATTGCCACAACTCAACCTCTCTGAGGCTATACCAAGCAAAAAATCTCGAGAGTTCAGTCACCAGCATGATGGAAGATGAGCGGAGATCCAGACATAGAAATCCCCGATTGTCCCATGATTCATGAGAAGAAATATGAAAATATGTAAATATTACAATTTGGGAATCTACTTGATTTAGAGCTTCAATATTCACTTCAAAAAACAAGCAAGTGCTAAGCTCTGGCTTTGTGGGACCCCCGCATCCCTTCGTTCAGCCTTGTAGAGACTAGCGAACCGACCCCCCTTAACCCCCGGAAGAGAATTTTCCCTCTTCGGATGCTGTAGCCACAGCTGCTCTATAGGCTCAGCTGGCTGTACAGCATCGTCTCGTGTCGACCCTAATAATTGTCTTGGACAGTGCATTAAGTTCGCCCTCCGGATTTCTTTTCCGCTGTCGAACGATATGTATAGCTTTTATGGATTGATAATTTTAAACTCTTGAAATTTGCAAAACGTAGTACACGTATTTAACAATCGTGCGTCTTGCTATGCAATGAAAGTGACGTTTATTTCACTGCGGTATGAAACAGGACATTACTTTCTATTACGCATTAGCCGCTGATTGCCGATATACTGTGTTCAGGCCTCCTAACAAGCTTTTGATGATCATTCCTAATAGAGAATCAAGAAGGAATCATTGAAATGAGATCAGACCGTGTGCCCACCTGAAGATGACGCCACTCGGGAATGGAATGTATTTCTCAAAGATCTCGTTTCTTACGGGTCAACAATCCCTGATGATCTCCACATCACGGGAGCTTATCAGATCTTGCCAAAATAGAAACAGTTAAGCCGTGGAACCTTCTCAAAATGACTTTGTACCTTGCCACTTATGTAAACAAAACGGAAAATCCACTCCTTAACGGTTTCTTGGCATTGCACAGCCTAGTGTCGCAGGGTTCCGCTGTGGGGCGGAATGTTTGAACTGAGTGATTACTGGAAGGGTTCAGTTGTGTTTTGCTTTCGGAATCATGAATGGGTGGGAAATTGTTAAGGAAGGGAAATCAACAATGAAGAACAGTGGAGCGATCGTTGGAAAAAAGCAACGCACTCCTAGGTGCAGATCCGAGCTGTAGCGTGTAGTCCAAATATTTTGGCACGAGAATCAGGACTAATGCACGCAGTATTAGAGCTGAGTTTAATAAGGACAAAGCCCCTATTCCAGAATCCGGTGAAACGTCGTACTCGGGCCTCCCCTGCAGATTTAAGGCATGCCGAGTGTCAAAAGAATCGGGATATTTCCTATTAAGAACAAGATCGGCACGAGATCATTAATAATCTCAATCACCGCCGGATCAATCTGATTTTGTATGTTGCCAAGAGCCATATCTAGCCTGACTAAAGATGACAAAGATGCAGCGTTCTATTAAGGGCTTGGTTTGAAGGTACAGGTCCGACGGAATTGATCCACCGCATGGAGTCCGTACCTGGGCCGATCTTCAATTTGGCCTATTCAGCTCTTCTCATGTCTATCCGATGTCGGTAACAGCGGGATATTCACCATTCTCATCTCGGAAGCTATACTTTGAGCTAAAGTGGATCAGATATTCCCTCAAGATATAGCCAATAGAGCTGACATTTCTCTACTCACTTGCTACGAATTTAACCTTTTGGGAATAGTCTAGTCTCACATTTGGTCCAGTCAGTCCCTGAGATGGGATGTGGGCTGAGACGCTTGTAAGTCATTACTGGTGTCATCAAGTACCCGGAAAACAAGTAGGGATGGGTATAAATACAGCTTGTACCTGCGAATTCAAAGCATACTTTGCATCTCTCAGTAGCAAGCTTCTTGAATCATGCGCAACCTCATTAGTCTTGCACTGCTTCCTCTAGCAGCTGCTGTTCCTCATCTCGTCCGCAGCTCAGAGACAAAATACGACTACATCGTCGTTGGCGGTGGAACGAGTGGTCTCGTCGTCGCGAACCGTCTTTCTGAGCAAGAGAACATCAATGTTCTCGTCATCGAAGCTGGAGGCTCGGTATACAATAACGAGAATGTGACAGACACTCTCGGATACGGCAAAGCTTTTGGAACCGACATAGACTGGGCCTATGAGACAATAAAGCAGGAATACGGCGGCGGGATCTCCCAAACACTGCGCGCCGGAAAGGCACTTGGAGGAACTTCAACCATCAACGGCATGGTGTACCTGCGTGCACAGACAGCGCAAATTGACGCATGGGAGACAGTCGGCAACGAGGGCTGGAACTGGAAGAACCTATTCCCCTACTTCCGCAAGGGCGAGCAGTTCCAGACCCCCGAGAAGTACTCTTTCTTGGATGGATCTGGTGTTGCCTATGACCCGGCCTACCATGGCTTCACTGGCCCCCTGAAGGTCGGCTGGTCGTCAACCCAGTTGAATGATGGTCTCGCACAGGAGCTCAACACTACCTACCAGAACTTCGAAGTGCCTGTTCCCTACAACAAGGATCCCAATGGTGGAGATATGGTTGGATACAGTCTGTATCCCAAGACTGTGGACTCTGAGCTGAACATTCGCGAGGATGCTGCTCGCGCCTACTACTACCCTTACCAGAACCGAACCAACCTTCATGTTTGGCTGAGAACCCATGCCAACAAGATTACCTGGAAGGATGGCGAAGACGCTGTTGCAGATGGCGTTGAGGTTACTCTCTCCAACGGTACCACAACTGTAGTGAAGGCCACTCGTGAGATTATCCTTGCTGCTGGTGCATTGAAGTCTCCCATTCTGCTCGAACTTTCCGGAGTTGGCAACCCGGAGTAAGTATCGCAATAGCCAGACTATATTCATTGCACAAGGCTAACACAAGTCTTCAACAGCATCCTTGCGAAATATGATATCGACACGAAGATCAACCTGCCCACAGTTGGCGAGAACCTGCAAGACCAGATGAACAACGGACTTCAGTATGACTCTAAGGCAAGCTACAGCAAGAGCGCCGACTACGTCGCCTATCCATCGGCCTCTCAACTCTTCCCCAACGCCACCGCCGTCGGCGCCCAGCTTCTTCGCAAGCTTCCCGCCTATGCAGCTAAGGTCGCCGCTGCTAACGGTAACATCACCAAGGCCAGTGATATCCAACGCTTCTTCAAGATCCAATGGGACCTGATTTTCAAGGCTGGTATCCCGGTCGCCGAGATCTTGCTTGAGCCCACTGGAAACACTTACGACACCGAATACTGGGGCTCTGTTCCTTTCTCTCGTGGAAACGTTCATCTCGCTTCTGCCGACCCTACCGTCGCAGCCACCATTGACCCGAAGTACTTCATGCTGGATTTTGATCTCCATGCCCAAGTCCAGGCCGCCCGTTTCATCCGCGAGCTCTTCCAGACCAAGCCTTTCGCTGATATGGCCGGCGATGAGACTAGCCCCGGTCTCTCTGTCGTTGCTGCTGGTGCTGATGACCAAGGATGGTCTAACTTCATCAAACAGAATTGTATGTTCCATCTACTTATTTCCGTCATTTGCAGAACTATTGCTAACCTTTTCTTAGACCGATCGAATTTCCACCCCATCAGCACTGCTGCTATGATGCCCAAGGAAGTTGGCGGTGTTGTTGACACTTCACTCAAGGTCTACGGAACCTCGAACGTTCGTGTTGTTGATGCTTCTGTATTGCCCTTCCAGGTCTGTGGCCACTTGCAGAGCACGATCTACGCCGTTGCCGAGCGTGCTGCCGATATCATTAAAGGAAAGGTCTAAGGGGTTGCGACCTTGAGAGTAAACATGCACAATTGTGTATGTGTTAGACAGGGTGATAGATTGTGTCTTTTGTCTATCTATATATATTGTTATATTGCCACTGAATTTATTGCGAGTGATTTAGCGTCCAAGGGATCGTGAACCGGTGGAGGTAGACCTCAATGAAACCTGCAGGAGAACATGATGCGACAATATTCTTAGTCTCTGACGGGGAACTCAAAAAGGTATGACTGTTTACAGATTTAGAAGGCGTCAATCAAATATTCTTAACGCCATGCATTTGCCTCAATTACTTGGCTGTCTTTGTATCAAATTTAATCTCGAGATCGTTCCAGGAGGTACAAATTCTGATGTGGAGCAGGCTCGATCTTGTAAACTGATTTACAATCGCGATCAGAATTGATGATTTCTTTCGAATACGCAAGGAACAAAGTCTACCCCATCACCGGTATTACTCAAGCCAACGATTTGTGCTTCTGCCCCTGGTAGATCTGATCTTGAGCAAGTATTGCCTGATCATAGTTGAATAAATGGAGGGGATCTGCTGTGTGAATTCAATAATCTCAACTGAACTTGAGACTGTACGCCAATATCATCGAGTGATCAAGTTAAACCTACTTTCGTTGATCAAATACCCGTTGCTTAATCACGAGTACAGTAGATGTTGAAACCAAATCACCCTTGCCCTAATAAGAAAAGAACCCCAAGACTATACTCCACGTTTAGTTACGCCGTTTTGTGTACCTTTGACATTTCAAATATCATGACACGGGCAGTGCAGCTCTTTTTACAGTGAGCTGATTCTGATTAGCTCTGCGATATTGAATTTACAATTTATGTTGGACTAACAACGTTCTGAAATAGTTCACTGTAAAATCAACTTTTGAAACATTTGATGGGCTCTGCCAAGTTTGGGCATTGGGGATATGTAAGTAGTGCCCGAATACCCATATAAATTGCTAGTAACCAAATATTATAATGCAACAGGGTCTCGAGCATTGGTCGTTGGTCAGGGGTATATGTGATTTGACAAGGGCCGTTACTAAAGTGAGACTTGCTTAGCTCTGGGCGGTCAGGTGTGCGGTTCCAGGTAGTATCTTTCCCTCTCATTCTCTTCCTTTCCCCCGTCTCTCCCCTAAGCAGTAAACCAATACACTCTATTTGCTGCTTCCTCTTTGCATTCGCGTTGATGAGACTTACTCCGCCCGCCGCGAGTGATCTGTGACTAGTAAATCCATTCCTGCTCAGGCAGGCAGAAACCCGCCAACCACAGCCACTTCTTCAGATCAACAAGGCCCGATTTTACTTTCCATTTCCTCGTCCGCTTAGTATCGGTCACTTGCGATATTGTCACCAGCTCACCTGCGGAGCCTGTTGAATCTCACTCCCTGTCAGGCCAATAACGGTGTCTCGTTCAACAACCAGGAGTCTCTGCTTCATTTCCAGTATCCTAATCGTATTATATCGAGAGAAAATCCCTTCATACAATCATGGATTGGTTGAAAAAGTTGTTCGCGGGGAACGATTCGGCGAAAACGACAGAAAAAACAGCAAAAAGGCGGGCGACCAGAGAACACAGTCGAAGGGTTCGTGCGCGGGAAAAGGAGCTCCGACGTGGGAAGAATAATAACAAGGCCAAGAAGGCGAGCTTTTCTTGGGGATCACCGGGTCAGACATACGACAAGAATGTTCGGGGTCGAGGCGAAACAGTTTTAACATTCAACGGCAACAAAACAACGTGACTTTATAATCGATCCCAAGACCGGCCTGCGCGGTAGTTTCTATAGCCAGCATGGCGGATTTCAAATCTTTGAAAATGATCTATGATTTTTTTGCCTCATTCTCCAACAGCGATTCAATAAAATCGATTCAGTTCAAATTAAAGGAGAGTGGGCTTTGCTCTTCAGATGAAATCGACTTGCTAGTGGGCAAATACATGCTATAGAAGTTTCACTTCGTCATCTTTGGAAATAAAGAACGCCAAACAAGTATCTACCATTGATCCACAGGTTCCTCACCATTTCATACTTCCACGGAAGCCGTTAATTGCCCCACAATATCCTCCAATATGGTAGACTTGTAAAAAAAAGGCGGGATGTGATGTTTACAGGATAGAGCCTGTCAACTAGGTAAGGTCAAGGTATCTCCCAAACAGGCGATATTGCGATAGAGTATACAGAGACTGGTTCTTGGGGAACTTCTAGGTTCACCAAGAATGCTATTTAACATAAATGGAGAAGCAGTATGATAGCGCTGACGTGTCGACGGTGATAAACCGACAGAACGCAGGATGACCCCAGGGACTGGATACATATTCAGGTTGTTCCGTGGCAGATATAACTATTCATCTTGACCTTGAGGGCACAAAGTTGGTTCCGCTGCCCTGGTATACCTGCTTCAGATATCAGCTTTGGATTATTCAATTAGGACTTATTCAACTATGATAAGTACAACATTGTACCTCTACTAATGCATAACTACCACAAAATGAGCGCGCCCTTTTTAGCATTTACTTCAAGATGGATGTATGAAGTGCAAGACTATTCAGGTACCTCAACAGTATGCTTGCGCAATATATCCTCATTAAATGGCCTTTTCCTACTAGAACAGAAAATTCATGAGCTTCGCAAACAAGATGCCCTACTACAGGGCTAAACTCCAACTAAATATTATTCAATTAAACTTTGAGATCCAAGTCATCTTAGCGTTGATGGTGGGAAACGTAGTTGTTACCAGGACGACTGCATCATCCTGCATAGCTTATTGCATCTCGCTGGAGTGAACAGAATAGAAACTGAACCTATTTCCTCGGCCCCAGTGGAGAGATAAATCTAGTAATCCACGACATATTCGTATGTTTCTAGCCTGATTGAGCAATTCGATGGCGGTGTTCTTGGTTTTCTCTTGCTATCAATGATTAGGAATTTGCTCAATATTAAGGGTTACGAACGCCTAATTCTCGAAAAACTATACCAAATGTTCCCGGACTGGTACCTACGCAAGATCTTCGAGCTCAGACCTGTCAGCACCTTTCTGTAGTAACATCTCCACGATGTCCTCATGACCTTCATAAAATGCGGCTCGGAGTGCGCTGCCGTACTCTCCGCCTTGAGCGTCGACATTTGCTCCTCGATCCAGTAGCATCTGAACAATATTTCCGTAGCCTCCATGCGATGCCATTTGAAGTGCGTTGCCGTACTCTCCACCCTGGGCGTTGACATCTGCACCGTTCGTAAGCAGCATCTCGATGATCTCGTTAACCTCCAAAAAGCCTTCATATAATGCTGCTTGAAGCGCATTACCACACATTCCACCTTGAGCGTTGGCATCGGCACCTTTCTTGAGCAATAAATGGACAAGGTTTTTGTGGGCTTGATAGGATGCAGCTTGCAGTGCATTGCCAAAGTCGCCACCTGAAGCGTTGACATCGGCCCCTTTCTCCAGCAGTAATTGCACAATGCTCTCGTTGCCTGTATAAGATGCAGCCTGTAATGCATTGCCATATTCGCCACCTCGAGCGTTGACATCGGCCCCTTTATCCAGCAGTAATTGCACAATGCTCTCGTTGCCTCTATAAGATGCAGCCTGTAATGCGTTGCCATATTCGCCACCTCGAGCGTTTACATTGGCGCCTTCTTTGAGCAGCACCCGCACGATTTTCTCATAACCTCCCAAGCATGCAGCCTGTAGTGCACTACCATAAAGCCCGCCTCGAGCGTCAACATCAGCAGCCTTTTGTAGTAGCATTTGCACTATCCCCTCATAGCCCCCCGCAGACGCGGCTTGAAGCGCATCGCCGTATTTTCCGCCTTGAGCACTAGGGTCAACGCCTTGCTCCAGTAGGATCTCTACAATCTTCTCATTGCCCATAGATGATGCAGCTTGGAGTGCATTGCCAAAGACCCCACCCTGGATATTCGGATCAGCACCTTCGTCGAGAAGCCGCTGCACAATTTTCACATGACCTTTAGATAATGCAGCTTGGAGAGCAGTGCTGCCTCTCCCTCCTCGGCCATTGACGTTGGCACCTTTTTCAAGCAAAATATTCACAATATTCTCGAAGCCTCCAGACGAAGCGGCTACAAGCGCGCTACCATTTCGTCCGAGTTGAACGTTCACATTCGCACCCTGCTCAAGCAGCAGCTGCACACAGCCCTCATGTCCCATAAGCGAGGCAGCCAAAAGTGCATTGCTATCAACAGTTCCCAGATTGACATCAGCATCTCTCTTAAGTAGCATCCGCAAGATCCTCTCATGGCCATTACGCGAGGCAGCCTGAAGCGCATTTCCGACATTCCGGTCAGCGCCATGTTCAAGCAAAATTTGCACCACACTCTCATGGCCCTCAAAGGAAGCAGCCTGTAGTGCGGTTGCACCTAATGCTGTTTGGGCATTAACTTCCACGCCTCTCTTAAGAAACATCTGCACAATATTCTTATGTCCTCTGCGGGAAGCCGTTTGAAGGGCGCCCCCGAAATTCTCACTTTGAATATTGGGGTCGGCACCTTTTTCAAGAAGCATCTGCACGATCCTCTCATAGCCATTATACGAGGCAGCCTGAAGCGCATTACCGGAGTATCCACCTTGGACATTCGGGTTAGCGCCATATTCAAGCAACGTTTGCACCACACTCTCATGACCCTCAAAGGAAGCAGCCTGCAGGGCGCAGCCATGATGTCCTGTATTATCATTCAGAGAACTTTCTCGCAGAAGCTGGTTTGGACTGGCTTTGATTAGGGCTTTTAATACATTTTCGAGTCCCAGTAAGGCTGAATAATAGATTGGGGGCGGCATTTGGTGGAAAGGACGTTCGAAGACAACCAGAAGCATTCCTGAGTCAAAGTCATGCAGATTTACCCAGGCCGCAAAAGATGCTTTGTTTTGGAATAACCTCAAAGCGAGGGCTTCCAGATGAGGTCTCCTTGCTGTCGTACGTTCGTAATGATGATACCAATATTGCGCGGCATATTTAGCGAAAGGAAATTGTGCGATCCTCATTTCATTTGACATTTCAACGGAGAGATTCGGGTCCGAAAGATAAACAAGGCAGGTCTGAGCCATCTCAGCATTCGCATGGTCTTGGCGAATCCCAAATTGTTTCGCCTTTTGCTGAAGCATGCGGTCGGATTGTAGATACTCTCGTAGTGAGAAATGCGCGATACGAGCAACAATCGCTTGCCCGTAATACGTTTCAATGACTGCGGGCTCTACTAAGATGCCACAAATACCAAACAGATCATTTGGGTCATATGATCGGCCCTCGGAGTCGATTTGGGGTGGTTCACTAAAATTGACTGCGATCGCCCCAATGAGTTCCGTGATGGTGAGTGGCCGGTCAGAAATACACAGAGCTGTTAAAATGCGCCGGACATCCTCGGTGTAAATAGCTTCAATATTGCAGAGCGTTCGTTTATACGTTTCGTCCAAATCACGAGGCAAAGAACGTAACCACTCGTCGAGCTGGTTCCCAATCAAAACCTTTCGAAGTGAAGACAGTTGACATGCAACAAATATGAATCTGCACTGCATTAGTCAAAACTCAGAGTTGGCAATATGCAATTTTCTCGTACACTCCCTCGGCTTGCTTTACCAGTTTTTCCCTAATCTCGTGGTGACGTCGGTGCCATTTTCGAAGCTTTGGGTCACTCTCCAGTTCGTAAGCAACAAAATTGAGAATATCACGGTCAGTATGTGAATTTCTGATTGAAATGTCCTGATCCTCAGAGACACCCAAGGATTGACGAATGTCAACCTCATCGCGGCTGGATACCAAGAGGTGAATAGTAGGCATGTTCCACTGACGCATTCTTCTAATGGCGCTTAGTACCATCTCTCGTACGGGGCCTTCAAGACTCTCATCCAAGGCATCGATAAAAAGATAACTTTGCGAGAAGCGGGAGAGACATAATCGAAGACAGTCTAAAAGAGCGTCCAACGGAGGTTTTTGCGAATTATAGGTTTGGTAGAGTTGTTCCAGATCTTTTTGTCCGTCTTCATTTTGCGTGGAAAGCTGCAGCAGCAGTGCACTTAGCATACTGTAACTGGTTCTTTTAGAGACATCGCCGAAAGAAAAGTAGAAGAAGGCAATTCCAACACCAAACTGATGCTGTTTGGTACGGATTGTATGCTGAATTGTCGTCGACATTAAGACGGATTTACCGGATCCAGCAAAGCCATTGATCCAAAGAAAAGAGTCATTGGTGACGAGCCATTCTTGAAATTGATGACTTTCGAGAAACCATAGGCCTGTCATTGGGTGATGTTTGGCAGAAGCAGAATTGTGATCAACGGTGGCATCTGGAGCTTTAAGCCAATCATGAATTGTCGAGGAAACTTGAAGGGCGTTGGTGCGTTCGAGAAGAAGCTTTAAATCATCAATCCGATCTCCGACAGTTTTTTGATTTTCAAGTTGTAGAACATCCAACGCAAGAGACAAGTTGCTCCGCATCTCGGCGATATCGACTTCAAGCGCCCGCAATGTCCTTTTCCGAAATGGGTAGGCCACCCGAAGCCCGTGAACATGTAGTGCTCCTTTAAGACTCGAACCTGGCTCTTGTTGAAATCTTTCACATCTGGTCTGTAGCTCATCGATGATTTCACTGCAGCTCACTACCACCTTGTCGAGTTCGTGGGATAGCGCCTTAGTCGTAGGAAGGCCATTCTTTAGAGCGCTATCAAGGCACTTGAAAATGCCGAGGAGCTCTTCCAGCTTATCTGTGATCTTGGCTAAATCTGCATCTCGATTTTTGTATGAGGAGTAAAACTCGAGCAGATTCCCAGAGACTTGGATTCCGAGTGATAAAAACCCCACAGCCCCGGCTGTAATAGAAAATGGATCAGTCATAGGTAAATGGAATTTTCAGATTATGTTGTGTTGAGTTTTCTGGATTTCCACGAAACGCACAAGTAGTGGTAAGGCATCAATTTGGTACCCAACTCAAGGACCATGCAGGCAGGGCTCCACTTAATTATATCCCTTGCGTAGGCAATAGAACGTAAGAATTTCGGTGAGTGAAGAAAATTCTCACTGCTGATGAATTGAAATATATGCTATCTACAACTTCTGGAATGTCGGTCTGAAAGTTTTTACCGTTACGGTTAAATATCGTATACAGCGTCGTTTCTTATCGCTGATGTATTTTTCGAGGCTCTGATAGCCTAAATGACTTAAGCAAACCTCTATTGAGTTTCCACTGTAGAATATATTCAAAGATTCTTGGCAGATAGACGTGAGTAGACGGAAAGGATTGAGTCCGCTCAAATAATCAGGGTCGCTATCATCGTCTCTCTATATGTCTAAACAAGCTACTCACTGCTCACTACAAGGAAGGTTGTATCGATTGCAAGAATTTCTGGGTGCATTTGTTTTAGAATGATACGCTTATACGTGCATGATGCCTTCAATCTGGATTCGTTTACAAGACCAAGGTAAGGAACAATATCAACGCCAAGCCAGGGGTCAAAGGTAAACTTTAAGCGGGCATCTTAACGGAGGACACAGACAAATCAATCGGCGTATATGTCATGCATGCTTTATTCTCAATTGAGGCTGCTAGCCCCTATCAGCCTAACATGACGGCGACCAAGTGCGTATAAGCAATAATAATAGTCGAAGGGCTGCTATACCTTTCATCCACTTTTTTCTATTGTTGTGATTCATTTAGCTGATTCAAGCCATCCCGTTAATCAGGTTCACTGGATCAAAGTTCTCCTTCCTTTTAATCAGTTCGATCTCCTTCGTGAAAACTGGCTCATCGACGATCACCACGGCCTGGTCTTGGCCGGGAATTATGCCTCACCTTTAGCGGACATGCAAGATGCCCCGCGGTGGCTTCGTCTAGAGAAAGCGAACTTCAGTAAGATTTACATGACGAGAAGAGAAGAGAGATAATTAAGAAATTTTAGCTATTTAATGCTAAGGACTACATCTTTATCCGATACTTGTTAATAGAGATGCGTCTAAGCCTTCAGGCATTTGCTTGCTTGCTATCTGTTTGTTATTCAGGAAAATTTTAGCTCTGCTTTCTCCTATTACCCAAGTTACCTATTGCTCTAATGACTCGCGTGGTCCGTACAGTATAGCACGACATTACCGGGTAGCCTCATTAATCTAGAGGCAAACTAATATAATATGACTGACACTGAAAAAGTAATCCATACCAAAAGCTAAAGTATTGTGCTCAATAGGACTGTCTGGCTTTTGGCATATTGTTGTATCACGGGATTTGTTTCTTCTTTCAACTCTAAATGATCTCCGGAGATTGAAAGGATTTTCCCTACTCGGGGCTATTAAAACTTCTTCTTGACAAGCACACCCTGAATCCTAGGCATCAAACTGAATGGCTCTCCAGGTTCCTTGATCTCGTGCGGGTTTTCCCACTCTCCACTGTTGAGAATGTCCGCCAAGATATTCCGGATCAAATTACACCCGACAAACGTGCTCCAGGCAGGATTGAAGCAAGCTAAGGCATTTTCATGTTAGCCGATCCTCAAACTTTCTCCCTTTTATCGGTCGAGATAAGAGCCCATAGACGCTATCTAGAAAAGACGAAGAAGTGGCACAGAGAGACAAACCTTGAGCCACAGCCGTCAAATGATTTCTACTCCATCCGTGTTCCCAGAAGATAAACTTGCCGCCAGGTTTGAGAAGCTTCCACACTTCTTTCATCACGTTCTTCGGATCCTTGACTGCACAAAGAACCTGAATACATAACACAGTATCCAAGCTTCCCTCCGTAATACCCTCTTTTCTTAAAATATCGCTATCTTCAACGCCACAAATGATGAGCTTATACCTATCTTGCAGGTTATGCTTTGCCAACTTGGCATTAATGACGTCTTTAAAGTGGGGATTGGGCTCAATGCCGTAGACCTGTTTGAGCAGAGAGGTATCAAAACGATGAAAATATTACCTGGCCCAGGACCCAGTTCGAGAACCATGCCGCTAGCAGCCTTCACGAGCGAGGGAACAACGGTTGTGTCTTCGTAAGCAACAAAGCCACCAGCTATGCATTATGGTCAGCGTACTTTAGACATGAAGTGAGGGAAGATATGATGAGCGGGGTAGGTTACAGGTTATACTGAGCAACTTTGCTGAAGCAGTATCTCGGATTTGTTGTGGGCGACCAAGTGCTGTGAGGCCATCTCGACGGACCGCTTCAGTCATAGCTTCCCAATGCACTGTAGCGGAGTGATAATTAGTTGTGAAGATTGGTGGCAGGACTGACAAAGACCTACGGCAGATAGAAAACCAGATCATGCCCCATAGACGGAGAATGGAAGAAAGGCGGCTAGGAGAGGGAGGCATGTTTAATTCCGCGAGACTGATATAAAGCTTGTCCGGCTTTAGAAGAATGTATCAAAAGAAGAGAAAGGGGTGGCCGAGATTTTTTTTTGAATGGGGATGAGATTGGGGTTAGGAAGAAAACAAAAGTTGAAAAGTCGCTCGAGGTCACAAGCGGGCCGCGTTGCTTAAATATAACCCCATACTACATAGAGTTTCACAAAGCTATACTTGTCACGTATTGCTTAAGGCTCATGTGGCGCACGGGGGTCGGCCGATATTATTCATAGTGGAGCGCGTCGAGTAGATCGAGACGACAGAAAGCTCGTTTATACCTTTAAGACTTTCCAAGGAGAGTTTATGGTGCAATCTTGCTTATTAAGACCCAAACGCCGAAATGGTACTGATATTGAATAACTTGCGCACTTACGGTATTTTCCCGCTCGGATCTCGGATTCACTGGTCGGTTTGACTCTAGACTCCACTTGTGTAGCATTTAGTGCTTATGCCCATGAAGCAGGCCCATCCCCATGTTCGCAACTATCAGGGCTTCATTTGCCTTCCTCTTAAACAGAACTTGTAAGAGGCTAACAAACCCTTGAACTCAGACCGCGTAATTCATGAGTCAAACACCTAATACAAATATCAATCAATCAAAGCTGGAGCCTTTCTAGTATCGAATAGCTATGCAGGCGCTTCTTTCCAGCTGAAGCAAGAACTCGTGTCCCGTACGCCTGATCATGTTCCAGCATAGAACTTGAGCTGGTATCGAAGCGAGAAATAGTACCAGTTCTACATGTAATCAACAAAATGTAAACCCAGAAGCGATTCCTGGTACAAATGAGAAATTCAATGCCCTACAGTGAATACAAATGAATGCGTAAATGCACCGTCCGCCTCTCTAGGTCCCTCATATTCGACAACTCATTTAAACACCTCTCGATCTAGATACCAGCCTATTCCTACTGCAGCAATATCAAACCCATTCTCCGAACCTCTCACTTCAGTCTCGATTACTGATAATCTTTGTTCATTACCCAGTCAGGCAGCTTGTATTCGAATTGAGCATCGAGGTTCTCTCCTCCCTCGCCGGTTTCAGCAAGGGTTGGTGAGTGCCCAGCGCCTTCGGGATGCGGACCGTATAGTACTTAAAGTTTTAGCTAGATGCAGGGTATGCTTCAAAACGAGCCGAAGGTCACCAATCCCCACATCCCGTTGAAATGCCAAGGTATTCAATAGCCGTGGCGGGGAAAACAAAGGTAATTGCCGCAGGGGTTAAGTGAAGGCACACATGCCGAGAGTAATGCAGCAATGCATGGCTCTGACCCCGGCCTTGGCATCTTGGCACATCCAAATAGCCCTCGATCAAAACTCCCAGCCAATGCACACCATGTTTACCCCATATCTTAGCACATGGCTCACCATTTGCTAAGCCGCTCTGATAGTATGCCAAGCACAGCAGTCACCGGCGACAAATAGCTCAATTGCCGATGACTCGCCATGGTAAATATATAAATGCTCAGAGTATGGACGATTATGTTTTATCCATCGCCGAGTAACTTTTCCTTGAACAAGTACTGGCTTTGTTACATACCTTTGATAGTGAGAGCGATGAAGCTCCTTACAGGACTGTCATTGCTATCTTTTGCTGCTCCTTCCTTGGCTATACCCGCAGCCAGTCAACTTTCACGCAATGAGATAACCCAACATGAACAGCCCTTGATCAAACTCAGACCCCAAAGAACATCATCCAGAGAGCTTGTGAGCCTTGATGGTCTCTGGAAGTTCGCTCTCGCATCTGGCCCCAATGACACAGCCCAGCCATGGACCGCACCATTGCCCAAAGGTCTCGAATGCCCAGTCCCGGCATCTTACAACGACATTTTCGTCAACCGTGAGATCCACGACCACGTGGGATGGGTTTACTATCAGCGTGAGGTAATTGTCCCCAAGGGCTGGTCTCAGGAGCGATATCTCGTGCGGGCTGAATCTGCTACGCACCATGGTCGTATCTATATCAACGACCGGCTTGTTGCCGAGCATGTGGGTGGCTATACACCCTTTGAAGCCGACATCACTGAGTTGATTGCCGCCGGTGACAAATTCCGCTTGACAATTGGTGTCAACAATGAGCTCACGCATGAGACAATCCCACCCGGAGAAATCACGACAGGGGAAGCCAGTGGCAGGAGAATTCAGACATATCATCATGACTTTTACAACTATGCTGGTCTTGCCCGATCTATTTGGCTATACTCTGTACCTCAGCAGCATATTCAGGATATCACTGTGGTTACGGATGTTGATGGCAACAATGGCCTGATCAACTACGAGGTTGAAGTGGCGAACCAGACTAGAGGGCAGGTCCACATCTCTGTGATCGATGAGGATGAAGCTCTTGTTGCAAAATCTACGGGAGCTCAGGGCACTGTTACAATCCCCTCAGTCAAACTATGGCAACCTGGCGCCGCGTATCTCTACCGATTCCAGGTTAACATCGTGGGCTCTGGAGGTGATGTGATCGACACCTACAATTTGGCCACCGGCGTTCGTACCGTCAAAGTCGACGGGTCAAAATTCTTGATCAATGGCAAGCCTTTCTATTTTACCGGTTTCGGCAGACATGAAGATACTGCAGTCCGTGGGAAAGGACATGACCAAGCATACATGGTCCATGATTTCCAGCTAATGAACTGGATCGGGGCCAATTCTTTCCGGACCTCCCACTATCCTTATGCTGAAGAAGTTATGGACTTTGCCGACCGAAATGGGATTGTCGTGATTGATGAAACACCTGCTGTGGGTCTAAACATTGCCTTGTTGGGGGGATCTGACGGTGACACTCCAAGCACGTTCTCACTAGATGGAATTAATGACAAGACCCAAGAAGCACACAAGCAAGCGATTTGTGAACTCATTGCGCGAGACAAAAACCATGCAAGTGTTGTAATGTGGTCCATTGCCAATGAGCCTGCATCTCAAGAAGATGGAGCTCGCGAGTACTTCGAGCCGCTCGCCAAATTAGCTCGTCAACTTGATCCTACTCGCCCTATCACTTTTGCCAACGTCGGTGATGCAACATATGAGTTGGATCAAATCTCCGATTTGTTCGATGTCACCTGCCTTAACCGGTATTTCGGATGGTATTCTGAAACGGGAGACCTCGAGGAAGCAGAGGCAGCTCTTGAAAAGGAGTTGCGTGGATGGCAAGAGAAATTCAACAGACCAATCATCATGTCTGAATATGGCGCAGATACCCTTGCAGGTCTTCACTCTATCCTAGCCCTGCCATGGAGCGAGGAATTCCAGGTCCAGATGTTGGCTATGTATCATCGAGTCTTTGATCGCATTGAGTCGATGACAGGCGAGCATGTTTGGAACTTTGCCGATTTCCAGACTTCCTTGGGCATCTACCGAGTCGATGGTAACAAGAAGGGTGTTTTCACCCGTGATCGAAAGCCAAAGGCAGTAGCTTATGATCTGAGGGCACGGTGGACCAATATCGAGAATAAATAGTCATTGAACGTATCTAGGTATTGTCAAAAATGAACGAGACTTTTGAAGAGAAATACCGACTATAAACTTATACACTATGTAATAAAGCATTGGGAGGTTTCTATCATAAAGCCTCATAAAGAGTAGATTAAACTACATGTTGCTCTCGCATACCACTAGAGAGAAGAAAACTTCCGGTGTCCTTCGATAATAAGGCCGAATCCTCGGGACGATGTTCCCAATCTGTTCTGTGATTAAACCCTCTGCCGAGTCTCTGGGTGTACCACGTAAGTTTAGACAGAGTTCGAGTGAAGGTAACTAGCTTGAGTGGACTCAAAGCTAGAAGCGCATTATTGGCAAAGCATGTGATATGCCTAATATATACCGAGAATCAAACTAGTACTAACGACTTTAGACTTTGTCAAGGCATCTATGATACACACCCGTGGTGACCGGATTCTCTTGGAACCAAATCTGATAAACTGAAAAGCCTAATATGCTCAAATATATCTAGCAAGTTGTGTGCACTCAGGTTCCTAAGTTGCTCGCTCTAACTTCTACTGTTCAGTTCCCTTTCAACATTTCTTGGGTCCGACTACTCAGGCACAAAAGCACCCCCTCTATTCATTAAACCCGTTTTTCCTGTCCCAATTCTCCAAATTCAGAACTATCTATTTTTTTAAGCTGGGCAGTCGATCCAAGATAATACCAATAAGAAAAATGCACATTCATCGGTTGTAAGAGTTTATCGCAGAGCTGCTCCATCATTGTGGGAAATGGACGGAGCCTAAATCTGTTCTTGTCATGGACAATGCCTCTTTTCACCATTCTGAGAAGATTAAGCAAATGTGCTCACAAGCAGGGGGGTCTTGCTCATATATTTGCCTTTGTACTCGCCAGACTTTAAATCGTATCAAAGAGCTCTTTGCTGAGCTAAAAGCCTTCATCAAACGTCGTTGGCAAGCTTACGCCGACAACTCTGACCAAGGATTTGATACTTTCCTGGAATGGTGCATCGATACTGCGGGGAGAAGGGAGCAAAGTGTAGAAGGACATTTTCGGAATTCTAGCCTGACAATCAAAAAGATGTGATGCCACCGTCTTCAATCCTAAAGCTTTATGAACATTACGAACATGACGAGCTAACGCATTAATATCCAGGCCTGCCAAGTATATCCTTATATTGTACCTATATCTAATTTGACCGCACGTCCTGGATCGTCCATCCCCCGCCTACTAGCCGAATCATAACACTATCTACCTCAACCCAGCCTTCCCGCTAGCAACCGCACCCACAGGCCGGACACCCTTCCCTCCCACACGCATACGTCGCAGTCCCACAGTCCTGCCACTTACTACACTTAATCCAAGCGCCCAACCCGGCCTTCGCCGCTGTCCAGCACCACTCGCCCTTGTTCGTGTTTCCGCAGGCCTTCCAGTAATACCCACCAGAGCACCCATACGGCGCGTCCTTGTAGCACGCCCGCTCCCGTAGGGCGCCGAGGCCGTCCGAACGAGCCTCCACGGGGCTGGTGTCTGTGTCCACCGTGCTGTTATAGAACGAGGCATCTACCGCGTCGAACGGCTCCAGCGATGCGCCCTTGACGTGCCGATTGCGGCCGAGCGGGTGGTCTAGGCATTTACGGATGTCGCTAGGGGCGACGCCCGCGGGGAGGTCGGCGGGTCGACGGTCATGACGTCGAGGTCGCCGCATTCGACGACGGGGTCGCCTTCCGCGGCTCGCGGGGTGAGGGTCAGCGCGGAGGAGAGGGCGAGCATGCTGATAATGGTGATGGGAAGCTTCATCGTGGATGCGGTGGCTAGAGACACTGAAATGTAAGTATGCTTATCTAGTTGGGGAGGAGAAGAAGCAGAAGAGAGGACAAGGGGGCCTACCAATTGTAGATGAGAGATATGCGTTCTTGGGCAAGTGGAAGGACTGGATATCAGACTGTGTTGTTGTACCTAGCTGGATATATATTGGATATATGGGATTGGTTTTGCCTTTTATAACTGTTCTTGTAAAGAAAGGAGCGTTTACATCCGAGAAACGATACTAGCATTCACACCCTATGGCCTCCCGCCTCCCGTGAACTGATCACCGTACTTCGTCCTCATCTCGATGAGCAGGATTTTGATGAACAAGAGCGCTAGCGAGGTCGATGACCGTAGATGCAACTCAACCTCAGCCTCCGTTGACCCCTGGTTATATGAAACCAGCACCAATCCCCCGGCCTGCTAGTCATGCAATCCATGTAGTGTAGTACTAGCGTGATGTAGCTAGAGAATGTCCGCATAGGTCTCTTAGTAGAGTATATGGATAGTCTAGAGCAGCCGCCTATTCATTATTGTCTTTCCACTTGTCTTGAGCTATGTAGAACCAGGTTTATTCAGTAACATACTGGCCTTACAAGGCTTTTTGCGCCGACATACACTATATATAGGGCAAGGCCAGTAGCCTCTCCTAGAGCTTTTGCGCTTAGGCAGGTTATCTCTTAGTTCAAGGATCTGTGATTAATCTCCTAGAGTCGTTCTCTACCTACCTTGCTGTATGTTACTATCTCGCCTATAGCCAATCAGACAGACCTCGGTGGTGTGTCGGGCCGCTAAAGCTCCATCATGATCGCCGCCAACCAATCAACGCCCCTATCGTCTGTTGGTTCTCTCGAACCCTTAACGACTCAGCATCTTTGAACTGAGACACGGGAGTAATAGCATCATTATTTTGCGCTTGTTCATAATAGGCAAGAGCTTCCCTGAGTGCCTACCACTTGGAAGTCTCGGCTCCGGAATCCATCATTAGTCACAAAAGGAGAGCGAAAGAAGCCCCATGTCACTAGAGTGATTAATGACTGTGGCAACTTTGGAAGAGAAAACAGGCCATGAGCCTCGATAGCTCCGCTTGGCCTCTAAGACTATCTCCGTGGTGGCACCATTATTTGCTATGTTGAAAACTTGATTCCGCGACCTATTCATTAGGGATGTTAATAAAGCAACACCCCACAAGGGCCCAAATTTAATTAAGCTCCGTAGATCTCTAACCGATTAATACTATTTGAAATATGGTTATTCCCCCACTCCAAGGTCGGGCCGGTCCGGGGCACTATAATTGTCCTGTGAGAATGGAGTTCTGGACCGTGCCTTTGTAATCCTGACATTACATTGATGAGCCTAGTCCTGCCATACCCTTGCGAGTGCGCACTCTATTCTAATCAGATATGAAAATCTCCTATGGGCCTGCCTCTGTGGATAAGAGCGGTGACAGGGTAAGATCTCACTGACTCTGCTCTATGACTCAACTCGAGGGCCCAGTGGTTAGATACATCCTTACCTGGAAAGTGAGTGCCTTTGTCTATCAAAGTTGCCCTGTGATCAGGCAGCAAACAAGGGTACTGACCAATCGGCTGCCCGGGGCCAATTTCGACCACGTCGCCTGTTCGCCTAACGCCGGCGGTCTTACCTGTATAAAGAAGCAAGCTCCCTACTAGGCTAAGCGCTAAGATCTAGCACCGAACCTCACCACGCCCCTACTCAGCACGAGAGTCTTATATCCTTGCCTGCTAGTAGCAGCCAGGATCAAGCCCGCTGCTTCCCAACATATTAATATCTTTATTTCCCAGAGGATTAGCGCCTGCCACCTTCCCTTTACACTAATCAAATACCCTTCTAGTATCCCTGCGTGAGTTTCAAAGGTACCAAATCCTCTTCATCCTATCTTTCTTTCTTGATCATTCCTCTTTTGCTCTTCGTCTTTTTTTTTTTGGGGGGCTAACTACACCACTCTATAAGGTCATCGCCTGATCCAACTCCAACATGAAACCCCTCACCTACCTCTCTCTCCTCCTTGGCATCTCTGCAACCACTGCCCTCGCCGCTCTCCGCCCAGACGCAACCCCCGACGAGGTCGCCGTGGCGGAAGCTGAGTGCGGGTCACTGGGCGTGATGAGGATCGACCCAGCAGAGCTGCCCCAGGGGGTTACGATGGCCGACGTCCGCATGTGCGCCGACCATCCGCTCGGCCCCGGGGCGTACCTGGGTCCGGGTCCTGGTGCTTTCGCCAGGTTCCGTCGGTTCTTGCCGAGTTGGGTATTTTGAGAGGACAGCCCAGGAGCTGGGTCGAGGCCCTGTAGGTAGTCCAGCATGCAGGCTGCTTCTACTCCCGCGCGGGCTAGTTTTTCATACCCAGTCTGGTTGCCTGCGCTGTGCGGTGGGAGCATCTGTTTGGGAATGAAACACTTGGAGATGTATGGTGTTGTCTAATATTGATTTTTGGAACAAGCTTGATTGATATAGTCTAGCTGGAGGATAATATTCAGATATAACAACATATAAAATTCAATGAAAATGACATTTTAGCAATTTCCGTTAAGTAGTAGATTAACTAACTAATGAAATGGGAGAGGCTCGATGGCAGTCTGGCATAGCAGACGGGTCGATATCAATGGAGACGAAGAGCAACCGAACACTCCCACGCCTAGTAAGAGAGCATGAGGAATATCAGACGGATAGACCCAGTCCTACTGAATTATAATGGATGAATGAATCTTGTAGAGAGTAGTCGTCATATTGCATGAGTGGTTGTCTGAGCTAGTGTTTTTCTCTATTAAAAAGCTGGGAGACATTATTGGCATCCCCATACGAATACTGCATGCTGGCTGATTTTCACGCCCTATTTGACAGAGAAATCTGAGTGTCCACGATACCAAACTGTTGTGTCGCGATGGCGGTACTTCTGATAATATGATGCAAACGTGGTCAGGACGCATGCCTTATGACCATATCTGCTATTTGCTTCTTATCCTCGACCGTTGCCAAACTCTCGATGAATGGCGGAGAGTTGTGGTCCCAATTGGTAATCGTGACCCTGACTGGACATCGTGATCTTGATCGGATATTGTGAGCCAAACCGATTTTACGCGACCTAAGAAGCCAGTGGCGAAAGCGGCATAACTTTGTCAAGATAATTGGCTAGGTTAAGTCATTCTTTTCATGTTAAAGCACTCCACGTGCTCTTCACGGATCTCAATATCCATATTCAACAAGGACAACTATATCACACTAGACATTTCAGATGCAAATGGGACAGATTGTCAAGTCAGTCAAATCTAAACGCAAGAGTTACTCGAAATTAGGGTCGTATCATGTTTAAAACAATCCTAACAACGTTCAAGGTTTAGGCCAGCCATCCAGATTTCCAAACCACCGCGACCTATAGATCTCATCGCCGATATTGATCTTGCGTCTCTTGCCATGAACAACCAAACTCGTGTAGAAACCACGGAACTTAGTCCACAATGACTGCACATAGATGAAACTTCCATCAGGTGCAATACTAAAACTCTTTAGGTCCGACTGAGGTAACTCCTCCCACTTCCCGTCACTAGTATAACCATGGCGATCATTGGTTGTAACCTCAAACCCTTGTAAATATTTATTGGTGACGTTCTCATAATGTTCTGTGAACTGACCCGTCTCGATATCAAATGCGTGTAGACCGCGGTCTTCCGACACAAGGAATTTCCGCTGACCAGGGATAGGTACTAGGTCATGCAATCCGGCCCACCAGGGGTATCCCTTACCCCATTCAGCCTCAATTAGGTATGCCTCGGGCAGTTTATAGATAAAGCGATCGTCCTTAGACAGTAGGCCCGTCCTAGAGTCCCAGGGATATCCCACGATAGTCCCATAAGCAGGGACTAGATCGGTGCCGTCCGCTGCGGCGTCCGTGCCAGCAGCCCATAGCATTTGTCCTTGTTCATCCCAAATCAAACCGTGTATAGCTCGTAAGCCGGTGATATTTTGAAGAATTGGAGGGTTTGCAACAAGGGCGTTGGCAGCGCTAGCATTATAGACAAGAATACCGTCCCAGGCTCGTTGACCAGTAGTACCTATAGCAAGTAAATTGCCCGGTAGGGGTTCGAGGGTATGCGCATTCCAGAGAACTTCGTTCCTTCTACAAAGCGCAAAAGTTATAAGCTTGTCCGTCGCTAGATTTTCGGGGGTGTGGTTGATAACGAGGGCAAGATCACTATAGACGGCACCAACACTAGTGCCGTTGTTCATATATTTGAGCTCCGTAGCATCGTTGGCGTGGGCATAGAGGCATTTATGAACATCGTCGGGCAGTGGTTGCGTGACGTCGTCGCGTTGGAAGCTCCAGTTCACGACTCCATCGCGGTCATGGATCTTCAAGAGGGGTGGGCGGCCATACACGCCGGTGACAATCTGTTGCCAAGGTCGCCGCTCGGGCCGTAGACGCTCCTGCGGTTGGATAGGAGGGATATAGTAGTCTGCGAGGGATTCGAAGAGGAAGGGAATCCATCTCAGGAATCCGCCCAGCATGATAAGAGGTTGTCGGCCAACTAGGAGCACTGTTTCATGAAGGTAAAGTCATCTTTTCTCTCAGTAAATTTCGCTTCGAATATTTCTCAAACGCATGTCGCCAAGTGGAGAACAAAAGGAGCCAAACCCCTGTAGCTAGCTAGCACCATCAATTCATTACCGTGGCGCTCCGTTACATACTTCGTATACGTTCCTCGGCCCGAGACAGTATATATACTTTACGCCCCTCTTCAGCCGCAGCTTCCGTCTTGGCGACCGCGAGGTGGGGCGGCCATATTTTGATTATCTCTCAGAGATGGTAAGGTAGTTTCTTACTCCGTACGAAAATTCGCTTTGTGGTCACCGCTGATATTGATGCCTGTATATTCTTTGATACCCTGTGATTCCTAATGTTTACAAGTGTGCTGACAATTTTGTTTTTATCCCTGCTTGGGATAGAAAATGAACACATCTCTAATGATTGGTCACAGTGCTACACCCCTGTTAAGCGCCATGTAAAACGCCGAATTTTACTGATATCTGTGATCGGTGCTTGAGGCAATGGAAATAGCCCCCCTGAGTGTGGTATTATTGGATGATGATGTCGCACCAGGAACATCTAGTCCCTTGGCATTCCTGTAGTTCCATGCGGGCTGTGCTACTACTAACTTATCAGCATCTGTTCAAAACCTCAAAATCATGACTGAGCAGCGAAACTCTTTTGTGAGGAATTGGTTAATGTCTTAGGATATCTTTCTCCCTCGCATGGTAGGTAAACTAGCTAGCCTGGTCAGGTGAACATCGATATTCTGATCTGCTGGTACGCAGGACTTGCCGCCCAATTTGTCAACGTACATTTGTTTTGTATCATGTGGGGAAACATACACGCTTAGCCTCTCAGAAAGACAGAATATAGGATAATTTCGGACCCTAGATTGGTTCTTGGGCCCCACGCTAATTCTTTCCAATACATACAATACGTAGTCCCTTGAGAAATAGGACACAATTCCATGAAAGTAATATTAGTTACAAAAGCCGCCTCACTGCCTTCTGGTGGCGTTACAATTAACAAACAACTTGCGTCTAGCGACGCCGAAAATATAGCCGGCGAAGAGTGTTGAGGATTCTCTTCTGCTGTTGACTCGCTTCAACATATGATATCCCAGGTTTACCAATTTGACCATGCTTCCTGCGGTTTTTATGTTCCTCTTGGGGGTTACTAGTTTTGCCGGGGCGAATGGCTCTACGACTACGCTTCCATCTTCTCAGCAAGGTTGGGCATCAATCTCTGAGACCTGTGAGATATTGCCTTTTTCTGAACCAAGTCACCACAGGCTAAGAATTTCTCACAGGGTCGGCGGTAACATGCGATTGGGGCCAAAATTATGTTACCAGTACCATAGATGGTGTTGTCTTCGGGCGATGCTGCGATAACATCTTTTCCAGCTGTGGGTTTGGAACGAGGTGTGACGCGAGCACCATTTACTATCATTCTACCGGCTACTCTACTTGGTGAGATTTCTCCACGTCGAATCTAAACCACGTCCACCATATCTCGCACCTTGCTAATGCTGGATGTGTCAAAGTAAATCTGGTGAAACGTGCAATGTTATGAGCATCTATGATTTTGCGACAACAGACACCCCTGTCGTGGATATTTTCTGTTGGAACGAGTGGCCAGCATCTACGATCTTTCGCCATACTACTACAGAGACTACTACGTCCAGTAAGTTAAATCTTGATGATCGTCCTTCAAAGAAGTCATTGTCTCACCACCATTACCCTCAGCGACCGCATCTCAGTCTACACCCACACCCGCAGCTACCCTTACCTCGCCTTTTTCACCGGCCACCGCCAGCGCCACCACTAGCCCCAGCAAATCGACCGAAGAGCAAGAGAGCCAATCTTGGATTGCTGGAGCAGTCATTGGTCCTGTTGCAGGATGCGCGCTTATCGGAGCTCTGGGCTTCTGGTTGGTTCGTCGTAACCGTAACAAGAAGAATCTCTATGTACAAGAGGCACAGTATATGACAGGGTCATATGCATCTAGAACAAAAATTTCTGCGGATATTGGCCCTTCTCCAAATGAACTTCCTGGAGACAGTGTTCAGAGTGAACCTTCGGAGTTAGAATCGCATCACCGCCAATGAAATTTTATATCGAAATCCGAGCGATGTTATTCTGGAGTCATCAGCCGGTGAAGAGTGGCTGGTAAACCATGCAAGTCCGAAGATTAAGATTTGCGTGGGCCAATACAACGGAATAATCTAGATACCTTGAAACATCCTAGCGCACTACGTAACCCACGCTGCAACATACCCTATCTCTTACCACTCTACTTTACTTTAAGTACCAGAAGAAGCAGGCCTGATTCGCCGAACACAACTACACCACAACAGATAGCAAGACCATGGAGGCAGTATTTAACTCAATAAATTGTTACGCACAACCATGTATCTGTGTTTCTAAGATTGGAAATAGCGAAGCACGCCTTAGAACAGTCAGCTGTTTAGGGAACGAAAGAAAGTGCGTAGAAGCTCCGACAGAGTACCCTTTTGGGGAAGTAGAATAGCTCTGAGAAGGCCGTGAATTTCCGCATAAGTCACCTCATTGGGTACCTTCCCAATCATGACTTTTCCAAGAAGGTGACCGCTCTTTTCTGGATTGATGTTTACTTTTTCTCGAAAAAAGCCAGTTGCCTTCCGGGTTAAGATTGACTCTGCGCACCGGGTCGGGGAGAATTCCATCGCTCTCGTCGAAAGCATAGCATTCTGGTTCTTCGAAACTTTTAAGAGAAATGAGAATTCCCCAGTGGTAGGCGGCATGGCCAAATCGCTGCCTGTTCCCGCCGGTAGAGAGAGCATCACGATGATGCAGCGAAAGAAAGACCTGGCGCTTATTGCTCATGGTAAAGATATCCCAAGGCCAATCTAGCGAGAAAATCCAAAATATAGAGACTGACAATGGACTGTGGTGGCAGGTTTTTATTTGAGAAAGTGGTTGGAGTTGGAAAAGAATGGAAGCTCACCAGTTTCTACATAACTGCTGAAGCACTAATACGCTGGAACACCAGTTGATTAATCTACGCGCCGAATTTTGCGCCGAATATTCAATCAGGAATAGCAGAAATCTGCTTGCTTCGACGTTGCCGCCTCTCAAATCTATTTCTTAGCCGTAGTGTTACGACCCCTGCAACAGTCAACTAAATGGGTTACTCTCCAAACAGCGATGGGTCAACGAGAGCCAACCAAGCTAGCAAGAACAAGGCGTTGCGTAGCCTCGTGTGGTTCTCTACATAGCCATCTTAGTTATGTTACAACTATATCCATGTTCAGCAAGCGCCGTAGGGTGATACGCCCGTTCCACATTCCCTAGCTTAAAGAACACGACAGAACCAACGGCCTTCAACGTTGCCGCGAGATAGATATTTGGTGCATGATTCAAGAAACTTGACTGTATGTCTCTTCAGGACAAGTTCAGCATATCTGGCGCGCATTTTCTTGTAGACGGATTCGCTTAAAGAAGGCTCTTTCATGTGAGGAAGAAACTCAGACAGCGGGCCTTGAAAGATATATGATGGTTTATTTGAATGGTACCCACAAAGCTATTAGTGTTACGGGTGCGAATTTTATACCGTCAATGGCTTCCATAGCCATTCAACGACACGTCGAGGGTATCTGAACAGCCCGTGGGACGACTAGGTAAGTCTGTAGGTTCTCTGACATAGGGGACATTTCGTTGGTTCCAGAGGGTGTTGCGATGGGAGATAGGACGCGAAATGCATCGTCAGTAGTTAAATTGCACGTCACTTATGCTAGCACTTGAGGTGTCTTGAGATATGCGAGCAGGGCTGTAGGACTTACCCAAGCCTGACACAGAAATACTTGTTTCATTGCTCAACTAAAGGATCGCTTGCGTTCGAACCTCGTCCAGCTAGCGCCGGGATAGCGGAATCAAAAGACCCACGTCCTCTATGTGATCCTTGTGCCGCTCAGAACCCGATACACAACTATTGCACTGGACATACTCCATGAGGAGCTTTTTATCTATAACTTAGTTGTTATATACTGCATGTCGCTTTGGCGAGTTGATTTCCCAGCTAGACTAAAATACGAATCCGTACCCAGCCTGGTGAGTAGTAGTGGTTTAGAATCCAACTTGGCGAGGGGTCAGTGTGAATGAATACTACTACTACTACTACTACTCCTGTATATGGAAGGTCTTTTGGAATATTGCAAGCAGCTTGTTCCGCATTCGTGGACAATATATCTTTGCTCAGGGTCTCAGCGAGGGTCCTCCGTATTGGGCAAGGAAGCAGTATTTATTAGGCTGGGCGGCTCATCCACAGCGACTAGGTATCTAGCTACTGAATGGGAGATTGAAGTATACCTACCCTTAGCGAGCTATTTTACCGAGGGCTCGTAACTGATCCTTCCTCTATAAGAAGGATCAAATAGTTCGGGTTTCTACTATCTTTCAATCCGCAACATGGATATCTTGACAATTTATGCGATCGCCGTTGGCGGCATCTCCATAAGCCTTGTTATCCTCAGAGCCTTGAGAGATTTTGCGCCATGTAGTAACGCTATCAATGTCTTCATTTGCCAGCATCTTGCGTATCCTTGCGTTCTTGGCCGCCATTCTCTTTTGGGGCCTTGGACACGAGCCAATGTTTCTCTTCATTTGACCTACCTCGCAATTAACCTACTGCTGCTTTTTTCAACAATATATCCATGGCAGCCACTGGTCGTCGAGCAGGTACTCTATCGCTACTCAATATGATGTTATAGTTCTTTGAGACGGTAAATTGAAGGCCGGAAATGGCCTTTGGCGTGCATTCAGAATCCAGTACATAGAGTGAAATATCTACGTCTCGACGGGAAAGGACGAAAAGAACTATTAGGGTGTCTGATTTCGAACAATTTCGCTATCGTAGTCCGCTCTGCGAAAGAGGGGATGGTTGCGCCGGGCCCACAGGATATTCTCACCCGGTTCTCACCCGATGTTCACCCTGCCTATCG